AAGGAGGGACAATGCATCCTTTAGAAACGAAGGAAAAGTGAAACCTGAAGCAACACACAAGAACTACGTGTTGCCTTGTATATAAAACAGAGAGCGTGGTTTACATGGACAGAAAATGCTGCTGTAAGTGAAGCCCAAGGATGTTTGGGAACAGACATTTAGAAAGGGAAACACCCAAATGGACGCCAACAATTCTGAAGACAAGGAAAGAGCACATTTTGGAGACCTAAAGCTCATTCCACATAGATGTACATTTGGGGAAAGGTACTTTCGCAAACTTGCTTGCTCACACTGCTGGTGTTGTCTCTGAATCCAGGTAGTGCTTCTGTTGGTATTTGTGAACACTGGTAATTCTGGTCGGATTGCATCAGCTTCTCTTAATGTGCGTATTCCTCCAAAGCACGCGTGTGCGTGCGCCATGTAGGCCAGAGCTTTCTATCAGATTCTAAATAACTTCCTCTTCTCTCACCTTGAATTCTCTTGCCCTAACCCTGAATTCTATGACCCGTAGTAAAGTGAGGGGGAAGAAAGGGCAGAAATAAAGGAAAAGGTTTAGAGAACTTACATTTTTATCTTTTGAAAATATTAGGTGAAAAGGAACCAATGAGAGCCAGTTCAACCTTAGAAATGGACTCACTATTATTTACTTCAATCTCCTTAATCATCCCCGGAAGAAAGGCTTACTTCTTCTATATAGTTTTCCCAAAATTGTCACGTCTGCAAATAATCTAGCCTATGAAATTAACGTCAGCCCCACCTGCCTCTCGTGCACATTGACCCCATAAACTGCCCACGCAACTCACTCAGAGTGCACAGCCTCATCTGGCCACAGCTGACACAGTCTGCGTGCCACCCTCCCCCCGCCGCTTCAGATTACCCAAGAGAACCAATCAAAGACAGAGAATGTCAGCGTCAGCAACCTCTGTGGTCTTTAGGGCTTCTGCTGGGCTCGGCAGTGCCCATGAGGGATGTCTAATGGGGTCTAGGGAGCAGGCAAAGAAGACACCAAAAAAAAATGTGATTGGAGAATATAAGGAAAATAATAAAGGTATTGATAGAGTGATAAGATAAAGAACAAAGAAAGAAATGCTACTATTTAGATGGAAGGGGCCCAGCAACGATTGCTTCACAGAGTTCCTCGGTGACCCCCGGGCTGTACGCATCCATCTCCAATGTTTAGCTCCCTCTGAGCTTCGCACCGGTGTTAGAAAACCCAGATTCTAGTGCTAGTGCAGCCCCCGATGAGCTGAGTGGCCCTGGACGGAGCTCTAGGTCTGTTCCTTAACTTGAATTTGAACACCTTGAAGACTCCTTTGAGATTTAATAGTTCCTTGCTGTTTTGAGCCTGTGCCTCCTTGAGAACCTGCTTTGGGAATGTTCCTTGATATGGTAGGAGAACCTGCTTGTTTTGTCAAATTAGTGCAGAGGATCTAGGAGTGTGAGCTGGAAGGGGAGATGGTAGAAGTGCATTTGTGTGAGTGTATGTCTAATAGGAACTTCCGAAGTCGAAAGGGTAGCTAATTAGTGAGAGCAAAGCTTCTGGCAAACTTGGAAAACCTGCATTTTAAGACCCCCGAAGCGTTGCACCTGTGAGCGTCTCGTGTCTGTCTCCTCTGCCTCGAGGTGGCATGAGGCTTGGGTTCTGAGGCTCTGCAAAGCATGCCGCGAGCCTGGGTCTTGGCGCTGGTAGGGTGCATCATCTCTCCTTCCATAGTTCTTAATGAAGTGTGCAGCTCCTGTCCTCATTAGGCCCCAGCACCGTCAATAAAAGAGTCAATAAACCCGGTTGATGGGGTTGGGACCGAGGGGCTGAGATTCACTGGCCGCACATCCACAGGGCAGACGTCAGCTCTGCTGTGTGTCATGACCCAGCATCCAGGGATCAATAGCCGGCTCAGAATGCAGCCCAACAGCCTGCCCTCCGAGTCTCCTCTCCAGACCCATTTCGCCCAGGGCGGAGCCATGCCAGCCGGCCCCTGCTTTGCTTGCAGTTGTTTCCACCTCATGCCATTCTGGGTGCCAGATGCTCTTGTTTCTTCCTGATTAAGCCCTCTGGACACCCCATGGATGCATATTTAGTGAGTGCCCACCTGGCATGAGAAAATGTAGATGGCATCTCCAAGCAGCCCAGAGGCTGGCGTGGGCCATGTTTTCCTGTGTCTTCTGTCTGCTGACAGTGTGTGACGGGCCCTGATGGACCAGGCAGTACATTTTCTGCCTGTGTGCTGCTGGACTCCATTCTTGCCTGCTCTGCATCTCTTTAGATACCCTTATCTTATCTAATTACAAGGAATTTCAGATTAATTTTGTGACCTCTGCTCCAAAGGACCTCTTATCTGGGAGGGCCTTGTATTTTAACCTTGTCATTCTTTTGTTGTTTGTCTTTAAAGGCCAGGCAGCTGGGGTGGGAGGGGGGTGCGGGGGTGGGGGGAGGTAAGATCTTGCTGGAATTGGGGCTAGGGGGAGGGGAGGGAAAGAAAGGCAGACAGACCTGGGATTTGTGTATTCTGCTCCATTCCCCTGCCTGTGTGCGGAGACAGCTGGCTGCTTACTTTCATGACAGCCACATGGTACCCAGCCACACAGAACAGGACCGGGGCAGGGACTCGTCTGCTGCCAACCTCTCCAGATCCCTTTGATATTTCCGACAGAGTAGTAAAGGACTCTTGACTATCACGTTTTGCCCTGCCTCTCTCCACCTCCTCTAAGACTCCTTGGTGTGGTTTCCATGGCTACCCCCAATCAGATTTGGCTTCCTGCGAAATTGGATTTCAAAGAAGGACAAGGCTTCAAAGGAATTTGTCCATTTAACAGAATGTCATTAGGAGTGAGGCTGACTGCTGAACCAGGTTCCTCAGATGATTAAGGAGGGGCTGCGCTCATGTGCGGAGGCAGGTTTCTGTCCGCAATGAGAAACCTTGATGCAACATGACAATGCCGTATTGGAACCTGCCAGTCACCCACTGCACACTACCCAGCTCTGCACCTCCGTCCACCCCCGTCTCTCTAACACCCGGAGTGAATGTAGAATACCTGCTCCCTGAGTTCCTGCTGCATCCCTCCGTATAAGTTAGCTATGCCAGGTAACGAGGCCGGAGAGGATGTGCAGCTACCTGGGTTTATTGCTCCTTAACCAACAACTCATTAGCTCGTAGCCTATATTAGCATCTGACAAATATCCTTAAAGAAGAGGGGGCGGTTGTCAAGTTTCCTTCAATTGTTGAGAGGGGAAGCAAGGCCAAGGGCTGGGGTGACATATAGGAGGGACTTTCTTTCCTTTGCAATTTTTTTTTGAGAATAGTTCTAGATTGAGAGAAGCATTGCAACCATAGCACAGAAAGTTACAATACTCGTATATCCTCCTTGTGGGTGGGTTGCGTGACCCCTGAAGAGCATAGACCTGTAAAGATGCTCAAAGCCACTGCATCCCTTCAAGGGTGAGGCCCCCAAACGTTGAGCCTCTGAAGGGGAAAGGAGGCCAGGAGGCAGGCAAGCTACCAGGCGTCCTTCTGGACACATTCTCCTCGCCGCTCCTGTTCTCATATCCATGGAAACGCCCACCTCTCCTTCCCCCGAGGCTGCTGTGAAAACCGATTCACTCGTCTTTTCCCTGCATCCTCTCTTACCACCCTCAATCTTCCCCACGTATTCTGCAGGTGGAGTGTGATAACAGAAACTCCATTTTTTTCTCAAAGAAGGAAAAGGGTAGAGGTGGAGGGAGATGTGCAAGATCACACACTCTGCAGGGGCTGAGGCCGGGTCACTCCCCTGTTCAAAATTTGTCAGGGGCTCTCCTGTGCCCATTCCACTGAGTTCAAAACCTCAATCTGACTTTCCCGTTCCTGGACAATCGTGCTTCCATTTTCCTGACAACCATCATTTCCTTACACCACCCAGTAACAGAGGGTTATTAACTGTTCCCCAGGCAGGAGGCTTTTTGGTCTGTGCTTAGTCCGGGTCCTCTGCCTGGAAAGCCCTCCTGCCTCTTCAATGTCTGGGGGTTCGAAGCCCACCTCAAATGCCACACGAACCACGAGACACACACACACAGCACTTCCCTCCTTTTCTCCTACTCACCTTCCCGATTCTAACACCCATGGATGGCACTTGATACTTTCCTCATGGCACTTGGTCCATTGTACTTAAAAAAAATAATAAACTTTATTTTGGGATACTGCATGTTCACAGACACTAGGAGAAATGATACAGAGTGATCGCGTCTACCCGTTTTCCCCAGTGGTAACATCTTGCAATATTACAGCGCGTGTCACACCAGGACGTTGGCACCTGCTGTGCGTGAATGAGGGAAAAGACAGAAAAGACAGGCGTCTCTGCGATCTTGTCCTTCACTTTCCTCCCTTGTCAGCTGTGACGGGGAAGAGCCTGGGTTCCTCTCTCCCGCAGCTTTCTCCCTGGGTTACCCCTTCCCTTCCTCCCATCCTTTCGGCCTTAGGGAGGAAAGGACTCTTTAGCTCCCTGTGTCCATCGCTTTGACTCTCCCACATGTTGGTGGCTTTGTATCATTTATTGGGACTTTGAGTCATTCCCTTTAAACGTCCTGCTTTGCCTGCAAGAGTCAACGTTCTTCGCTGGTTTCTGGGTGTGGATGCGGGGACGGGATGGGGGACTGAGTGTGGCTAGGCTCTTGGGTGCGGGGACCAGTTCTTCCTTCGATTCTACTCTCCAGTCCCCCTGTCCTCCCTCCCCGCCCCGGTGCCGCGTTCCGGGCAGCAGCGTGGCTTTCACACCTGCCCCTTGAGGTCAACGGTTCAGTGCTTGGGCTGCGAAGTCTCCGAGAGGCGAGGCTCCTCGAAGTCGCGGTTGGTCCTTTTGTTTCAGCGGAGGGTCTGGAGGGGCGCCGCCCAGTAGAGCGCCCCCCCCAGGCTTTCTCCCTCGGGGCGCAAGCAGCGCGCACAGGTGTCCCCTCTGGTCCCGGGCACCCCCGCCCGCTGCGCGCGCGGCTTCCTGCCGCCGCCCCGCCCTGCGGCCCGGCCCGCGGCGCCCGCGGCAGAGGTACAGGTGCCTCCGCCGCGCCGCTGTCGCCTTCCTGCGCGCCGGCCCGGGCTCCAGGCCTTCACGGCCCCCTCCCGCCCCGCACATGGCCTCCCCAGCGCCCCGCCAAATGCAGGCCGCCGCTGTCCTCCCCGAGGAGATCCGTTGGCTCCTGGCAGGTAACGCCGCGGCCCCCCCCCCCCGGGACGCGCCCCCCCCCCGGGGCCGAGCGCAGGGCAGGAAAGGAGACGCGGGCGCCTCGCCAGCCTGGGCTTTCTTTTCGGCTTCCGCCACCTTGCGCCTTCTAGAACCTCGAGGCTTCCAGAGTCCCCTATCACGCCAAGCCAGATTTTCACGCTGCCACCTCAGCGGCCCCTTCCGTCCCCTCAGTTCCACATTCTCTCTCATCTGGGCGTCGCTACCCCTCCACGTCGGCTTCCCCTCCTTCCAGGCTTCGGAACAACTTCGGGCCAGGTCTTGCCCGCCCCCGCCCCCTTCCCCTGCCCCCTGGCCTGGTCTCCAGCCGGTCGCGTTCCCCTTGGGACTGCCCCAGGTGTGGAGCTTCGCGCCGCCCCCCCCCATCCTCGCCCGGGTAACTGACATCTCTCACGCAAGACCCGCACCCTCCCGCCTGCAGCTCCCCGAGGCCCTCCAGGGGGCTGTGCGGGGCTCCCTGGCTACTGGGAGTTTTTGTCAGCGCGGACACCCCGCCTCCCTCCACCGGCCTGCAGACTGCTGGGGCCCCGTCACCCACCCCGCAGGCCTCCCCTCGGCGTTCCACTCCTTCCTGCTCTAGAAGGGCCCCGCCGGGCGTGCTCGCCTGCAGAGGCGAGGGCCTAAGCAGCGCTTTAAGAGTTCAGGCCGCGCTCTCGAACACTCAACACGTCCTTCTGACGCTCCGCAGAGGCTTTTTGCGGATGCGCAGTGTCATCCGCCTCGTTCGCACTCCTCGTGGTGAAAGTTACGTGCTCTCCCGCAACTGACCTGCCTGGGAAGACGGCCCGCACTCTGTGCTGGCGCAAGGGTCCCCGGAGGCAGCTGCTCAGAGTTAAGCATTTTGGCATCCCAGTGACATTTTTGACACATATATAACAGATGGCCTGCTTTGGGCAGGTCATACTTTTGGCAAGTTGTTGGGTTTTATTTTTTTGGTGCAGTTTCTCTCGATTTAATTGGTTTTATATCTCCATTACCTCGTTATCTCAGTATAAATGCCTCCTAATCAAATATTTGGCAAGTCCTTTTGGTCTCTGTTTGTAGCACTGTTTCCATTCTGGATTGTTTCTGTGTAAGAGCTGTCAACTAGGTATTTCTTCTGAGGTGAAGTTTCCAAACTTTGTGACCGGAGTAAATGCAAAATTTCAGAGTGGGAAAGTGTTTGCAGGGTGCGAGAGCATCGCCTGGGTGTCTAAGAAGAAGCCATCCAGCCCTGCCTTTCGGTTACTATTTGGTGTGCCGAGACAGACTGTACATGTTTGATTGTACAAGGAGGGAAGGAGCTATGATGAAAGTTGAATCCTGCCCTTGTCTTTATATTTAAAGATACGAAGTGATTCTTTTTTATTGGCATCTGTCATTTTATGAGAGGAAACCTATCTTACAAGCTTGTTAAACCGTATTTTCCATTTCGTGTGCAGCCTTGGTAGAAAATGCCTTTTTATTTTCAGAGACTTTCAGTGAAACCCACTCCTTCAACATTTTTGATGTGTGGTTCTTCATTGTTCAAAACTGACACTTTGGTAAACAGCTCATTTCTGCACCTGCCACCTTCCCTTAGCTTAGATTATTTTCTTGTTAGCAGACTGTTTTTAATGGAAGTCTTCAGATCCCCTTCTAGAGCAGAACCTTTGTTTGCTGACAAGTAGAGCAGGGTACGAATGGAGATTAATTGCAATTAGAGTCTGAATCTGAAGTGGAGAAAAAAATGCAAAGGTGGGATTCCACCAATAATTCTACTGAAAAATGCGTGAAGAATATGCTTTTGAAAGGTTCGTGTAATCATAGCAACATATTGGTTATAGGTTTTGCTTTTCATGAGACGCTGTCTCTGGTGTAGACCAGCAGAATTATTCATGGTACTGCAGGTAATTTGTGGATATTAGAAACCCGTAATGGCTATCAGTTTAGCATATTTTGCTCTTTCCTTGTCCCCTGCCACACACACACCTCTTCAGGTTGACTGTTGACAATTAGGTCCTGATCTCTATATCGTCACTCAGCAGAGGGAGTCACAGGGTGAGAAGGCTGCCCCTGGGGTGCTGCCACGTGCTGTGGGGGCGGGGCTTCCACAATGAATCACTACTTTCATAAACCAGGGCGAGAGCATTTGCACAGTGATTTAATGCTAGCCATCACAGCCATAACTTGAGCATTTATTTATTTATAACCATACGAGCATAAACGACAAGAGTGCTTTTGATGTAATGTGTATGCTTTAAAAACTAAAATATGCAAAGCATTGGGAAAGGTTGATGCCAAAATTTTGCATAATGAAGAAGGGAGCAGAAATTCAGAAGGTCTAAAATTAGTTTCTCTAAGGATAACATTTTAAACTTTTGAAAATGTTTCATTCGACCCAGAAACTTCACTTCTAGGAATCTGTGTTACTGAAGTTCAAGGACATCCTGATGTCCATGAGTTGAGGAAGGCGGGGCGATGTATGAATGAATTATTCATCTTATAGCGTATTTTGCAGCCGTTAAAAAGAATGCGATGGATATATAGATAGATATGCTTGAAAAGTATCCATAACAGATTTTTAAGACTAAAAAAGCGAGGTGCACCATAATATATATATCCCATTTGTCTGAAAACAAAGAAACTACCCTCCATAAAACCCTTTATGTTATATATGTTTGTTGAAGCCTAGGAATAAAAAAGAATATACAACAAGTTGTTAACATTGGTTTCCTGGGGAGGGGAGTGGGAGGGTGGGAGAGAGAGAGAATTAGTTATACTTCACATATTTTTGAGTTGTGAACTGTGACAATGACCATGCATGACGTTTCTAAGCAGGAGAAAACAACTACTGAGGTTATTTAAAAGGAAAGAGAACAGCCCTGGCTGGTGTAGCTCAGTAGATTGAGCGCGGGCTGTGAACCAAAGTATCGCAGGTTTGATTCCCAGTCAGGGCACCTGCCTGGGTTGCAGGCCACGGCCCCCAACAACTGCACATTCATGTTTCTCTCTCTCTCTCTCTTTCTCCCTCCCCTCCCTCTCTAAAAATAAATAAATAAATCTTAAAAAAAAAAAGAAAAGGGAACAGACAAAAGACAAATAGAAGCTTGGAGAGATCATAGTACTAAGGGGCCATTAACCAGGATTGTGATTATATTTTTCTCTTAGCCCTGTGGGCGTGTGGAATTTTTTTTTTTTAGTGCTTGGATTTTTGGCAAATGTTAAAGCAGGGGGAAGCTTCCAGAGTAACTCAGGAAACAGCTCCCTCAGATGGACTCTTGTTGAGATCTCATATAGAAATAGTCACTGGTCACTATCAGCAGAAGTACCTTACAGATAAGTGAAATGAAGACTGCTTACTGCATTTTTGAAAGAGGAGGAAATATTCAGGTCTGTTTTCAAACAGCCAGGCTTCAGACATAGAGGTTATCGTTTTGTTTTTGTTTCGTGATAACCATGCCGAAAACAAAAACAATGGCGTGCTGGCAGTTTGCATAATCTTTGTTCCACAGATATAAACGTAGTCAGTTTCTCCCTTGCCTTTCTAGCCTGGCTTTTGAAGTCAGAAGTATGAGAGGCAAGCATGAAGGAGGGAGAATAAACAGTGTATCTTGTGTGATGGAATGGGGCCTACTTACCTTAATAGCTAACAGGGCCCAACTACCTACAAAGTACCTAAATCTTGCTTGGAATATGGATGAAAGCCAAAATAACATCTACAACCTGGCTGCATTTAGTAGCAATTGCTGTGTTAGTGCTGATTCTGATATGCCTATGGTTACTTATTTTTAAACTTCCTTGGAAAGGAGCAGTCATTAATCATTTCCTTCCAGATTGTTCTCCAGATTTGTATTGGTTGATGCAGCCAACCATAAAATCCTATTAACATAGTAAAACTCCAGTTCTGGGGAAGTCACAGGCATGACTTGCTCTGGATAACTGAGGATATTTTCTTTAAGCTCTCTAACGTTTTTATGGTAAACATTTGTGATCATTTTCTCCCTAAAATGCACTAGAAACTTTTCTCACTTCCTCGACCAACCAGTCTGTGCTTAGAACACCTCAATTCAGAGTTGTTGTAGTGAATAAATGTTGTCATACTTTCGGAAATACACTGGGTTAGTCAGGGATGTTTCTGCCATAATTACACCTGGATTGCTTTGTGAATGCCTATCTGCTCTATATTTTTATTTTTGTCACTCTTTTCCTACTCGTAGGCCAGGTTTATCATTTTACACCACTCTCAGTATATCTGCATTCCCAATGCTACTGGAACACCAGATAATCAAGTTTGTTGGAGTTCAGATATGTGTAAAAGAAGGCATGAAAGATGCAGCCTTCGTGACTTGTATTCTGGCTGTTTTTAGAGTATTTCTGCTTAATTTTTGATACCGGGTTGTCTTCTAGATAGGTGAAGTTACAGATAAGTTGATTTCTGAAAGCTAAGCTGTGACCACACTTCTTTTTAAAAGAAAATCATTTTTTATTGTTATTCTATTACGGCTGTCTGAATTCTGCCCCCTTCGCCTGCCTCTGCCCACTCCACCCCATTCTTCTTTCTTATGTTAGATTTTTCTGATTATAAAAATAATAATGCCCATTGTAGAATATTTAGAAAACACATAATGATGTGCAGTCATCCATAATCAACAACTGTTAAATTCTCATGTATTTCTTTCCGTTTTTATTATATCTTCATACGTTAAAAGTTGGGACATATTATGTATATAATTTTGGACAGTGAATTTTCCACTTACAGTTTTTCACTTGCTATGATCTCCTGAGCATTTTTCTAGATCATGAATTTTTTTCTTTTGAATGGTTTAGAAATTACGCATTCTGGTCTTATTCCACTGGTAGTTTTGCCTTGATGGCTTAAAACAGAAAACAAACAAATGAAAAACCCCATGTGTTTCCGATTAGCAACGTTAAGGGTGAAACAGTACCTTTTGACTCTTTTCTCCATGTGGAATCGCTAATATAGTCTGAGATTTTAGACTCA